CCCAATAATCTAAGAAAACAGCAGATGGAGCGGGACTTGTTTATTTAGCGCGGCTGTTAGCTACCATGAAGCTAAGCTATTCAGATCCACGCTATACCTAGACCCACAGTATGTTTCCAAGTGGTGCGCTGGTCCTAAAAACAGTCTTCCTAACGTGCGTTCACATTTTGTTTAATTTACCGCTATGTTAGATTTATTTTTTTGGATAAAGTTTTACAAGGCAATTGCCTATGCTAGGTTATCTAAACGTTAGCTTGCTAACTTTTAGAAGTGTAGTGATGTAGGGACAGCTTTCGCTGTAACATACTACTAATTAATTATTCTTAAAGCTAGTTCAAGCACAAAGAATATTAATTGTTTAATTATAACAGATTCTTTCTTTTTCGAGTTAAAGTTCTGCCATGTGACCAAGATAACTTGTGGAGTGGAGTGTATAATTAGTGATATGAGACGCCATTTTATCTTTGACCCATCAGAATAAATGTGGTCATTTATTTAACAGAATCAAAATTTAACATCAAACATGTACACATTGATTTGCTGATCTGTTTTTGATTAATAAACTTGGCACGATTTACTAAACAAGACAACAGAAGATTACTGATTGAGACTGATTCATCTCTGAAGGCATCTAGCTTGATTTACTGGCGAATAGAAGTTTAAAGAAAAGGAGAATAGAAGTTTAAAGATTTAAAGAGGATGTTTAGATGGATGAAAGTTATGTGTTGAACCAGAAAATGGCACCCTTCCTCCGAATCCAGCTCAGCCCTCCGGTACACTCAGGGCGTCAACGGCTTGTTACCTGAGATTGTGGATACATCAACTCTGGAACAGAGGTCCATTGGCACGCTCCCTTTTCAGCGTCTCCAGTCAGAGTGGCTGGGGTCGTCAGAAGTCGTGATGAAGTACTCAGTTCAACAGAATAAGCTTCCTTAGAAGTTGAGCATTTAATGCTCGGGTTGAGTCATAGCCGAGGCAGGCTGTGACTACGCTGGAATGGACGGACCCTTGGCACATGGTCAAATCCATCAGCTACTTAGTTCAGCTAGAAGACCCCAGTAAGACTGAGTTTTCCATGCAAGGCTGAAAGTTCCAAGAAGACTGGAAAAACTGGAAGACTGGAAAAGACTGTGAAGACTTGGAAGACTCTGGAAGACTGAATAGTTCCAAGAAGTGTTGCCTTTTAAAGGGTATCCACTTCCTGTCACTTGGTACTTCCTGATTGGTTGAAACAACCAGCAGGGGTGTAGTTTTAGTAATGTCAGAGGGTTATTAGAAGTCAACAGACAGCAGAAATGTTTTAAGAACGGTTAGTACAGACAGAGAAATATTTTGAAGAAGTGAGAGAAAGTAGGTGCCAGCCAGTTCTTATTTACTGTCTGAGAGTTTTAAAAACAAGGCACTTTGTTCTCATAACTTGTCTCTGGCTTTCGACCGACATCAGGTCCACTCCTCACACAGACAGAAGAGTGAATGCACACTTACTTCGTAAATAGACATTTACTTGTATGATCCAAGTTTAATGAGGTTTAAAAATCATTAATACTGTTTCACAGTTGATTTAAATGAGTGGTTTACTTCAACATTTAGAAATGGTATGAACTAAACACACTTTTGATTATCAAGATATTGTAAAATAGTTAATGATAATATAAAAAAGAAGAGTGTTCTTTCAATTGATTAATTCAGGATACAATTAAATAGTCTCTTGATGAGAGAATTTGTATTTCTGGATTCAAATCAATGAAATAACAGTTCCTGTCCCCTGAAGGTCCTCAGAGACAGATTGATGTCGGAGGCCTAGTTCACTACAGAAGTACGTAGCCAATGACAAGCGGGTTGGAGGATTGAAGAAAATTTATTATTGTTGATTTATTTTACAAATCCGTTAAAATAAACTTACCATGCTCTGTTCAGCAAAATATGCTACACAGTATTGTTCTCTGCTTCATGTGTGCTAAACATGAAAGTGAAAGTTAAGTGAATGGCAATGACTTGAAAGTAGTCTTCATACACTCTCTACTGGATACATTGTACATTTACGGCTGGTTTTCAGCATTTTAGGGGTGAAAATTAGAAGCGTTTATATCGGCGCATAATGGGACAATTATTACTGAGACAGATAGGTCCCCAAACGTCTATATCGGTCTAAATTATCCACCCTGCCCTATATCGGTCAGCTCCAGTGAACATAGCTACGATATGTGAGGTACCAACTTCCATTGTGGTGTGGTTGCATCTAGATTTATAAAATATTGTTTTCAAAAATTGGGTTGCCGAGTCAAAATCCGAGATGGCTATAAATATATCAGACTTATATGCACAGTGCATCCGGAAAGTATTCACAGCGCTTCACATTTTCCACATTTTGTTATGTTACAGCCTTATTCCAAATTGTATTAAATTAATCTCTTTACTCAAAATTCCACACACAATACCCCATTATGACAATTTGAAAAAAATGTTGGTTTTTTAGATTTTTTCCAATTGATTAAAAATAGAAATCTAAGAAACCACATTTATATACAGGTAAGTATTCACAGCCTTTGCTTAATACTTTGTTGATCCATCTTTGACAGCAGTCACAGCCTCCAGTCTTTTTGAATATGATGCTTCAAGCTTAGCACACCTATCTTTAGACAGTTTGTCCCATTCTTCTTTGCAGCACTTCTCAAGCTCCATCAGGTTGAATAGGAAACGTCTGTGCACATCCATTTTCATGTATCTCTGTTGGAGGAAAATATTCTATCTTTATCTTACTTGCCGCCGGTAATCAAAAAGGAACCACACTTGACAGCAGGAGAAGAGTTGTAACTGGTATTTACATGCAAGGTCAGATTTTCAAGACAGATTACATAGATATACAGGAAGTACACACATGAAGACCAGTCATGAGAATCTGCCACGAGCAGTCTGTGAAGCTTGTTTTTATACTCTTATTTGTTCAGCTGAGCTCACAGACTGGAAGGTGTCCTTGAAGCGACAGCTGCATGCCCACAGCCTCACCCAGCTCCTCATCTAGCTCTCTCTGCTAACCCAAACATATCGTTCATGGGCAGAGTTAACATTCTGTTCAATTCAATGTATTTATGCAGCACCAAGTCGTAACAGAAGTCATCTCAGAGCACTGAACAGAAACTTTCATATATATAAAAAAAATGAGTTAACACCATTTATCTGAAGAGCAAACTGCTTTGTGTTTAATTCCATGGCAGACTCTTATCTTGAGCAAGCATGAAGGCAACAGTGAAAAGGAAAAACTCCCTGATGAGGAAGAAACATTTAGCAGAACCCAGGCTTAGGACAAACGGCCATCTGCTGGTGTAGGTGAACCTGAAAGACAAAAACACATGTTAGGATAGAAAAAATAATTACAAATACAAAACAGGTTGAGCAGCGTACAGTGAAAATTGTGGTCAGTTTGTCCTCCAGCAGTCTAAGCCTATAGCAGCATAACTAAGGGACAGCTCAGGAAACCCAAGCCAACCCTAACTATAAGATTTATCAAAAAGGAAAGTCTTAAGCTCAGTCTTAAAACTGGATAATGTGTCAGCCTCACGGACAGAAACTGGAAGTTGGTTCCACAAGAGAGGAGCCTGATAAAAGAAAGATCTTCCTTCCATTCTGCTTTTGGAAACTAGGAACTGCAAGTAAACCTGCAGTTTGAGAACGGAGTGCTCTGTTAGGAAAATATGGAACAATAAGATCTGTAATATAAGATGGAGCTAGGTTGTTGAGAGCTTTGTAGGTTAGAAGTAAGATTTTGAATTCTATTCTGGATTTGACAGGGAGCCAATGGAGAGAAGCTAAAACTGGAGAAATATGAGCTCTCCTAACTCCAGTTAAGACTCTGGCAGCAGCATTTTGGATCAACTGAAGACTTTTTAAAGAAGCGTTTGGACATCCAGATAACAAACTATTGCAAATGTCCTGTCTGGATGTGACAAATGCATGAACCAGTTTTTCTGCATCATTTTTAGATAAGATGTTTCTAATTTTAGTGATATTACCCAGGTGGAAGAAGGTGATTCTAGTAACATTTAGACATGTCCTGATCAAAAATAACAAGATTTTTAACATTAGAGCTGGAGGACAGATTAATGTCTTCCAAGGAGGGCGAAAGACTGAACAATTTATTCCTAAAATGCTCAGGTCCAAAAACCAAAACCTCAGTCTTGTCTGTGTTCAAAAGAAGAAAATTTAGGGTCATCCAGGTTTTTATGTCTTTAAGACATGCCTGTAGTCTAAGTAACTGATTGGATACATTGGGTTTCCTGGACAAATATAATTGTGTGACATCAGCATAATCATGAAAATTAACCTCATGCTATCCTGATGCATGCTCGATAATCCAGGTAGAAAAATCTAAAAAAGTTCAATCTGGTCCTCTGGACATTCAAAAAACAAAACAAAGCAAAACAAAAAAAGACTGATGAAAGACAAAACATTTCTACATTTTTTGGTTTTGCTTTGTTTTGTTTTTTGAATGTCCAGAGGACCAGATTTAACGTTTTTTAGATAATCCCATGCTGTTTAATAACTTTACCTAATGGAAGCATATATGAAGTAAAGAGTATTGGCCCAAGCACTGAACTCTGATGAACTACATGACTAATTTTGGTGTATGAAGAAGATTCATTATTTACATTACAAATTGGAATCTATCAGATAGATATGATTTAAACCAATTTAGAGCCGTTCCAATTCTCAGCCATAGTAGTTAAAACATCCATGATCTTTGACCAAAATTCCCTAACATATTAATTTATTGTTTATATTGTTGATAGTAATTATTATCACCAAAAATGAGAAAGAATATTTTTTTTTCCATTAAAGGAAAGAAATGATTGACTGTTACCATCTGTTGTTTGTTTTAAAGAGAGCTATACAAGTTGTTACTTGACAAAAGCAGTCAAGCTACATGGACTCCACATATCTGCTCAAACTTGATAGCTACTGTTGTCTGTTATGAAGTTTTAATTATTGTCCGTCTGTTTCAGGGTTGATCACTGGAACAATGAAAAGGAGCGCCTTGTTGTTATCACTGACAACTCTCTCTTGGTCTTCAAGTACGACTTTATTATGCTTCGCTGTGAGCAGATCCAGAGGATCCAGCTGAATTACATCGACCGCATCTCTCATGGTTCCTTCAGTTTCCCAAAGCGCTCCTTGGCAAAGTAAGTCAAGACCTCAAACCTGTTTTGTTTTTTTAACTCAAAATGTTCAGGTCATTTTTTAAGTTGGATATCAGACCCATGGTGACAACATCTAAACATAGAAGCACCCTTATTTATATTCATCCTTGAAACTTTTGTTGTCATCACAATTTTTCCATTCACTACTCCTCCCACAGCTTTGGAAAAAACTGTATAAAAATTAATTAAAAAAAAAAAAAAAAGTGACTCATACAGTGTAGATTAGCAAAATAATGACACAAACGCAACAAAGAGATTTTGGTAAAATTAGTGAGAAAAGCCAATCCTTCTTGAAGTCCTATAGGTCAGAGGTGCCTCCACTTTTTCAGCATGCCTGCTCCTTTTAAAATGACCAAGTCAAAGTCATCTACCTGCTATAGGCCACAAGAACAACCTCTGGAAATGTTTGTGTTTTTTCTATGTTTATTTGGGGTAATAAACAAAAAATGAGCCAGATGAAAACGCTGTAGTTTCCATGTCAGTCGAGTTGCCAGATAAGAAATAATTAACTATAGTACTGTGGCTTCAAAATGACAGTATTTTGACCTAAACTGTCATATTTGCTGAGTAAAGATATTCTAAGATGAGGTGTGTGTTGAGTTTGTTGAACATGTGAACAGAAAAGGAAAAGGAGGGTAAATAAGACATTTTAAATTTATCTGGCAATCTTGACGCCAGCTCAGCTGCATTCATTGCGCACGCAGTGTCTGAATGATCAGTTACATCCAACTGGTGGACACACTAACGTCTCTTTGGACCCTGGATTTTATTAGTTTTGCTCCTAAATGCTGAAAAAGGCTGAGTAACACAAAAACACTGCTCGCTGCCATTTATTATAACTGTTGTTGGTGCAGAAAAACTTTGGACTCCAGCTGCTTGTAGTGCGCATGTGCGACTTCACTTGCAGAACATTTCATATCCCCATGGGGGGTTCCCCCAAAAATCTCCAGTCTGAGACCTGGATTCAGAAACCTTCAGTTTCAGAGAAAACGAGGGCTGTTGTTGTGTCAATGAACGGCCGAACGTTTCACGTCGTGTAAACGGGGCCTCAGACTGGCTGCCCTGGATGTCAGTCAAGAGACTAATTTCATAGTGAGGATGGATGATAGGCTGACATTTAGTTATTTTAATGCCATATATGATCTACCCGTAATATCGTTGCGATCGATCGGTAGATTTCGATCGACATATTGGGCACCCCTGCTATAGGTCATTCAAACTTCTCTGTTGAAAAATGAGTAGAAATCTAAACTGGTCAAAATAGGTTTAAGTTTATGTGACAGATCTTGGATTTTAATATCTTTTACTGTTTTTACACAATTGCAATTTTACGTTTTATGATTTCTGGAGAGTTTATCACAGAATGTTTACTGTTACTATGTCCTACGCAAACTTCTGAGTTGTCTTAAGCGTTCCTTGACAAACAACCTTTTCCTATTTTCTCAGTCTTTCACTTTAATACAGTTTATGCATCTAAATAAATGTATTTGTGTCTTCTTTCACCCAGTGTGCCTCTGACTGCTGTAGGACTCAGTTTTCTGTCAAACTGCTGCAGAGTGCAGATCCATATTGTAGTTCACTTACGTTACCTGAGCTCAAATTGTTTCTTTAAAACTAAAGGTGTAGGGTCTTTGTAACTGGTCATGTCTCTCACATCGTGCCGACAAATAAAAATCTGACATGACATCCAGACTCTCTTGTGATTTACAAGTCGAGTATTTATGCAGAACAACTTTTTTTGCCGTTTGCAAAGTTTTTGCAGAGACTGTGTGTTTGAGCCTTTCTTTCCACCTTTGTGTTTCTGTCTGCCTGTCCTATTAAAAGTACTGACACTAATAAGCAACTAGTAGCAACTTTAGCATTTCTAAAAAAGTTAAGTCTGGTCCTCTGGACATTCAGTAAACAAAAAAATAATGTAGAAACGTTTCGTCTTTCATCCGAAAGACTTCTTTAGTCTGACTCAAGTGTTGGACTTTTCAGGACCTGTGAAAGGGCGTTCGTCTCCAGTTTTGAGGATTGGGGTTTGATCCCCAGCCCCTGCAGTGTTCCAAAATGTGAGTGAGAGTTAGGCATTGTCCACATGAAAACTGTTTTCTCAAAGGTATTTTAATTTATTTGTTTTTGTATATATCCTTGTAAACATCTTTTGTAGAAAAGTTTCCATCCATGTGAAAACACCAGCTTTGATTCAAAATGCTGTAATAACGTTGCCCGACCTGTAAGGGGTGCTCTAACGCAGCCACAAAGACACTTCAACAATAGGAAACAAGTTGTGGCACATGAACATAAAGCTTACACTCTCCGGAGTTTAAAAATTTCAACACAACAAAAATAATAGGATGACTTTGTATTGTAAGTTTGATTAGAGGTGAAAAATGTAGATGAACAGATGCTCAGATATATTCATCATTTAACACGGATTCCTCATTTTTCTGGACTGAATAAAACGTGCATTGAATTTAAGGAAATGCAAACGTGAGACGTCATTTATATTTGACCCATCAAAATGAATGCGGTCATTTATTTACAGAATCAAAATTTAACATCAAACATTTACATTAATTTGGCAAATTATGAAAATAACAACATAAGCAATCAATCAGGAAAAATCATACGGCCATGATTTTTCCGTTGCTTCACCACAGACATTTATGAAAACTGTACAATTATGATCTTTTACCCACATGAATGTGGGTGAGCATTTTACACAGACATTTCTAAAATATCTGGAAGAATTTCTACTTGAGAGAAAAGTTTAGAGATGAAAGAAGTTTAGAGGGAATAAAAGATGGGGTTTGAGGGGAAGTAAGTTTTCACCAGAACGGCACTCTCCATCAGAAACCCAGCTCGCCTCGGTACGCTTGGTAGGAAACTTGACCCATTACCTTTCTGATGATAATCAGCAGATATGGTGTTCCGTTAACGCTACCTGTCCAGCGTCTCCTTAGTATGGCTGTAGCTCGTCAGAAGTAGTGGCGAGTGAAAGGTGTTATACTCCCATGGAACTCGGAAGAGCTCTGTTGTCAGGATCATCCCGTCTCTCACAGAACTGGTTGGACTGTGTATCCAGCAGAACTCCAACAGCACTCCATCAGAACTTCAACAGAACCAAGACCGAGTAGACCAGGAAGTACTGACATTTTAAAGAGCTGTTTCCCGGTTCACTTTTGGGATTTGTTCATTGGTCAGAAACGACCAGACGGGGTGTGTTTTGTGACGTAAGAGGTTAGAGACAGCGAGAATTGTTATGAAACAGATCAGAAATGTTCTCACAGACAGAGAGAGTTTTGTTTTGGCACTGTTTCAGCAACAGGTGCCAAAACTTCTCTATTTACGTCTGAGAGGATTCTAAAAACATGACAGTTTTAACATAACAACTTGTTTTGCGTTTTATTCCAACCTTGGACCAACTTACACTTGCTCATTCAAAAGCAGAAATCAGAAAAGGCATAATTACTCTGTAACAGCTTTGACATGAGAATAAAAATCATTACACAGTTAATAAAATTGATTAGTTCACTGCCACATCTAAAATGGTTTGAACTAAGACACTTTGATTATCAACATTTGTAAAATAGTAATGATAATAAAAAGAGAGTGTTCTTTTCACTTGAATCTTCAAGAAAGAAAGTCTCAGGATGGGTGAACCTGTATTTCTGAGTTCAAATGAATGAAATGACAGTTCCTGTCCCACAAGGTTCTAAAGGTCAAGAGTTTTGACCTTAGACTTAGTTTTTGACATGGGCCTAGTCCACTACAGAAACTACAAATTTTTTTTTTTTGGGGGGGGGGATTCTAAAACACTGTTTTCATGTGGACAAAAGGCTGAAACAATAAAAGTTTGCATAGTTCCACTAAACAGTCCCATGTGGACGGCTCCTAAAAGCATTGTATGTTGATTTAAAAATATATACATGTATTTAGTAGATGGCATTTTGTGTGACTGGGGGGTAAATGAAAAACATTGTAAAGTGCTTTGCATAACATGAAGAATCTAAAAAAGTTAAATCTGGTCCTCTGGACATTCAAAGAAAACAAAACAAAGCAAAACAACAAAAAAATGTAGAAACGTTTCGTCTCTCATCCGAGAGACTTCCTCAGTCTGAGGAGCTGTATTCAGCTCAGTCTCTTAAATAGCACCTTCTCAGAGTGGATCAACCAGTTTTGCTGCTGACAACCAAAACCAGCTGATCACATGCTCAAGAAGGACCATCAGCCTAACAATGGATCATTAGCACCTGATGGCTGTTTACTACTCACAGAGGGCTGAGTGATACTAGCAATCACAGCATTGTAAGAGGGGGACAGTTGAACCCGGAGGCCTCCACCCCTGTTTAATGATGGACGGTTTCTTTTCACAAAGATGGCCTCCTTTACTCCTCTCTCAAACCATCGTTCCTCTCTATCCAGGATGTGAACATCTTCATCCCTGAAAGAGTGACCGCTGGCCTGGAGATGAGTGTAGACCGCAGAATCCTGGCCTGATGATGTTGATCTTCTGTGCTGGGCCATCCTTTTGGCCAGTGGCTGTTTAGTTTCCCCGATGTAAGACTGATCACAGCCCTCCTGACACTGAACAGCATACACAATATTACTCTGTAGCTATGTTTACATGCGCAGAATTCTTTGACCGGATTGAAATGTGTTCTGTTTGAATAATTCAATTGTATTGTTTACATGGGCACAATCTGTTCATGACGAGCGTTTACATGCAGCGAGCTTCGTTCTGAACAGCAGTACTGACATGTGCAGAGTGGTAAACTCTCCTTAAAAAAAACACCGAAGAAGAAGTTCTACTTCCGGGTGAACGTAAACAAACCTGAGCACCCAAAATGGACCCGCGACAGGTTTTAATGATGGTGGAGACGTTATTGCACTCCCTGACTGAGCTACAGGTGATAGAAATCATTTTGAGCTCTTTAAAAGTTTCTAGTAGAAATGTTGTGTCGCTCACCGACCAGTTTTACTTCCCTGACATGCTA